TTCAAATTTTGGTAAAAACCGAACCGAACCGACCGTTGCACACCCCTACTATTAAGGATTCATTGGATGTCTTAAATGATTTAGTGACAAATAAGTTTGTAAGAGCTAGCAAAGTACCAGCGATTGAAATATTGGAAATATAGAAATAAAATGAAGAAGTGGCGAGAGAAGTTCAGGAAATCAGTAGGAATTAGTCAGGCAGACTGGCGGTCGACTACGAGTCAGCAGTGGTCGACCGCGAACATGCACAGGAGAGCAGGAGGCTCTGGAGCTGAAGGCGGTCGACCGTGGCGGTCGACCACGCGGACCCTGCAGGCGATTTAACTCTCGGGAATTGGTTCGGTCGACCACCATGGTCGACTGTGAGTTTCCTGTAATCGATTTATTCTCTGTCGCGACCGCCGCGGTCGACCACCGCGGTTGATCGCGATCCCTGCACGGTCGACCGCGTAGCGGGTTTGCAGTTAGGTCAGTTATTTGACCCGGTTCGTTTTGAAGCTGATATATAACTCTAATCCTGATTAGTTAGGGTTAAGCAAGGATGTTTTTGAGCAGTTTTTGGGAGAGGATTGTTGCATTTAATTGTGAGAGATTTGTGAGAGATCTAGAACTTTGTTTTAGGGTTTGATCGATGAGATGTATAACTCTATTTGTATTCTCTTCATTTCTAATAGTAAGAACTCCCACATCCTTGCCCCCGTGGACGTAGGCAACTTACCGAACCACATTAAACTTATTGTCTTGCTGCGGTATTGTGTTTGACTTATTAGTTGTCACGCCCTGCTTCCTAAAATATCGGGGAATCGGAACGTGAACAAGCCCGCGATGTATTAGACTGAGGAGAAATAAGTACTAGACTCATTCTGCTCAATCTAATATGCTAAGCGTCAAGCAAATATAAAGCGAAGGCACAGGTTCCCGATCACAGTAGCGAGAATATAATAAACAGCTCAGAACAAAATAATACATATCACAACTGAAACATCATCCCAGACATAATATTCGGGCTAAACATGCCCTTATACAAAACTATCTGAATGAAATGCTGAAAAATATAAAATACAGCGATCCGACTGAAAATAAAAGTACTACAAAAGTAAAGTAGGGTCATTAACTAACTAAAAGAGGTAACTAAGCTTCGACTTGTTCTTCTGCTCCATCTGCAAAGCCTTCCTGCGGAGGATCCTCTGGCTCCTGTACTACTCTGAACTGTAACTTTTCGTCCTCTAAATCTGATGTACATCCCGAGAGAAAGGAGTACGTCAGCGTGTATGGCACATGACAAGATCCCAAAAGGAATAATAGAAACGGTCGAACGACCAATGCAATAATAGTAATAACAATGGAAACATGCAACTGAAATACTAATAATCTAAATATAATTTACTACTAGAATAAAATAATCAGAATAATCCAAAATCAATCGGTTAACGAGGCCATGCAGGTAGCGATCAGATTAATCATCCAAGTACAGAGTCATACACTAGATGGAATTAATATTTAAAAATCTATAATTCGAGACGTAGTACGTCGAGCGAAATAATCCAAACAAGGAAACCCTCATGTATATATCATATGTCTCAAATTGTAGATAATTAAATATTAATCCCGATCGATGTATGAAAAGAAATATAAATGGTCTTTATCTCACAACAACTCAAAATCATCCAAGTAACGATGTCGTGTAACTAGCCATTCTATAACAGGTCACTGGTACATATCTCACATAGAGTCAACGTTCCTGTCATCGGATAACTGACTGTTTACAAATCCCCTACGTGCATCCAATCCCGCTACACATGCGGCCTAGAGGACTACACACATTCTGTTTCTACCCGGTCCGAACTTCAAACAGGACTCGGGTGACGAAATAAATCCCCACTGACCAAATTGATGTACACACTTCACTTTAGCCCCGCAAACCAACCCTAGTGGTTGTTTTCGCCAAAAGTCGAATTTGTTGTCGAATTCATTATATCTTCGGTCGATTACAATAAATTCAAAAGTCGAATTTGTTGTCGAATTCATTATATCTTCGGTCGATTACAATAAATTCAAAGAAAACAGCCTTTTTATAAGACTCTTTTACACAACAAAAAGAAAATTACAACTCTTGAGAAAATAAACGCAGGATCGTTGTTTGGATCACTGCTTTCGTGGGATCTTTGCCTGTGGTGCGTTAGCCCGTGGACCACCAAATCACAGATTCTGATTGAATCGTGAGGGGTTTATGATTCTGACTTCGTTTATCGAAGTGAGAAATTGAAACGATATCTTATCGATGTAAGATAGTCGTTCTTCTTGAAATCAAGTCAAAGCCTGATTATCAAGGAGTGGCCGAAAGTTTAAGACCTTTGCTCTCTCTGCTCTGGATTGCTCTGAAGTGCTCAAAAATGATCAGCCCCTTGGAAAAATGGCCTTAGGAGGGTATTTATAACCTCCAAGAACAGTTGGCAGAAAACAGGTTCGCGAGACAGCTTTTGCTGTCTCGACGGGCGAGACAGTGTTTGCTGTCTCGGCCCGCGAGACAGTAAACGTTGTCTCGGAAATAGTAACTGTCAGGCAGTTTTTGTTTTAACTGCCTTCCCACGTTTCAAACTCCGTTATTTTGGCAGTTATCCACGTGATTCTCGCCCACGACGTTTCCCACGTTCTTGAACAGTTAGTGGCCACGTGTAGGGCAGTTACAAAGGTAGTTTTGACCATCTGAAAGCTGTCTCACGTGCGAGACAGTAAATTCTGTCTCGCACGGCGAGACAGCAAAGACTGTCTCGCGTGGGCGAGACAGTAAAAGTCTGTCTCGCCCGCGAGACAGTAAAGACTGTCTCGCACGGCGAGACAGTCAAGTCTGTCTCGCGTGCGAGACAGTAAAGACTTGTGTTTTTTTTTTTTGCCTTTTTGGATGATTTCCTCTTGAGCTGTATTTGGATATCTTTCAGCATTTTTTGACGCCTACAGATACCCCCTCCAAAGTATTCTAGACTCAATCTTTTATAGAGGAGTTTTGGGATGCTTTGGACAAGATAGATCTTACTTACGATCCTTTCAATGCTTGGTTGAGTAGATCGTTTATATTCTATCTCCTGGTCTCTTGTTTGTTGGTAGAGATGAACCCGATGATGGAGAGGAAGAATTTTATATTCTATCTCCTGGTCTCTTGTTTGTTGGTAGAGATGAACCCGATGATGGAGAGGAAGAATTTTATATTCTATCTCCTGGTCTCTTGTTTGTTGGTAGAGATGAACCCGATGATGGAGAGGAAGAATTTTATATTCTATCTCCTGGTCTCTTGTTTGTTGGTAGAGATAAACCCGATGATGGAGAGGAAGAATTTTATATTCTATCTCCTGATCTCTTGTTTGTTGGTAGAGATAAACCCAGAATTGGGGAGGAAGAATTTTATATTCTATCTCCTGATCTCTTGTTTGTTGGTAGAGATGAACCCGGAATCGGAGAGGAAGAATTTTATATTCTATCTCCTGGTCTCTTGTTTGTTGGTAGAGATGAACCCGGAATCGGAGATGAAGAATTTTATATTCTATCTCCTGATCTCTTGTTTGTTGGTAGAGATGAACCCGGAATCGGAGAGGAAGAATTTTATATTCTATCTCCTGGTACAAAGGAAATTTGAAGTGTGATTTCTATTCAGAGAATCTGTTTGACCAAGATGGGAATTTGAGACGATCCTAACTGTTTAAAGGTTTGATCGTTCAATTTGTGGACCTCTCGTTCATGGAACGAATCGAGAGGGGATTTTGGCTTTGGTCCTAACTGTTTAAAGGTTTGACCAAGATGGGAATTTGAGACGATCCTAACTGTTTAAAGGTTTGATCGTTCAATTTGTGGACCTCTCGTTCATGGAACGAATCGAGAGGGGATTTTGGCTTTGGTCCTAACTGTTTAAAGGTTTGACCAAGATGGGAATTTGAGACGATCCTAACTGTTTAAAGGTTTGATCGTTCAATTTGTGGACCTCTCGTTCATGGAACGAATCGAGAGGGGATTTTGGCTTTGGTCCTAACTGTTTAAAGGTTTGACCAAATGGGAATTTGAGACGATCCTAACTGTTTAAAGGTTTGATCGTTCAATTTGTGGACCTCTCGTTCATGGAACGAATCGAGAGGAGATTTTGGCTTTGGTCCTAACTGTTTAAAGGTTTGACCAAAATGAGAATTTTGTGAGAGAAGATTGATCTAAAGAGGTGATCGAATCTCATCTCAGCAAAAGAGTATTCGAAAGTCATAGTAGGAATTTAGTGTTTATCACTTTGTTCATAATGATCGGGGTTATCCCTAAGAATATTACATTTAACATTCTTCCGGGAACTTCCCGTTACATGAATTATCCACCCCCAGCTTTCTTTGCAAAACTAGGTGTAACGAGGAGTACGTTATCCTCAGTCGCATGTTCGGGTTATCCTTAAGAATATAAGATTCTCCAGGAACTTCCCGTTATATAAATCATCCACCCCCAGTTTCCTTTGTGAAACTGGGTTTAACATTGTACTTAGTTGGATAATCGAGAAACAATTTATACTCATGTGCTCTTTGGAGTGTGGGGAAACAGTTTATACTCGTGCACCCACTGGAGTAAGGGGATACAGTTAGGGGTGCCAAACGGTTCGGATAAATCCGAACCGATCCGCATCCGTATCCGAACGAATGCGGATATGGTAGGCTAAATTTGAAACCGGGCGGATACGGTAACGGATACGGATATGGTTTCGGATTTTTTTCGGATACGAATTCGGTAACGGATATGAGGATTGCGGATACGGATATCCGCAATGTAATAGTGATTCGGGTAATCGGGTCCTAATCTTATAGTTACAAACCCGCTAACCCAAAACCAAAACTAAAAAAAAAACCTAGGCCCTCACCCTCACTCAGCCCTCAGGAGTCAGGCCGCCTCCACTCTCAAATCTCGATCCAGTGCTACACACGGACCACACCTCCACGATTCTCACCTCTAGCGACGGCGGCGGGTCACAGCCGGCGATCTCACAGCCGGCGATCTCTTCTCCTCTACCTTCTCGCCAGTCGCCACTCGCCAGCCGGCGATCTCTTCTCCTCTACTCTCCTCTTTGAAGTGGTAAAAATTGGATTTTGTTGTTGTTGAGGGCTGATTCTTTTGATCTGTTACGCTTATCAATATAGAATTCAATTTTTTTTATCAAGATTTTGTTTATCAAGATTTTGCACATACATCAACTGTCCAGGGCACTTACTGTTGCGTTTATCAATATAGAGTTCAATTTTTTTGCTCAAAATCTTTATCTGCTTCATCTTAGGTATCCTTTGGAGCTGCGGAAGGAGAAATCTACTAAAGGCAAGGTACTATCTTGAAACATTTAATATAACCTCTGTTAAAAGTTAAAACTTTCAGGTATTAGGAAATGTTGTTATACCACTTTTCAAACAATGCTTCTCATGCTGAAATTTAGCTTATGGATTGGTTTTTGTTGCACAATACCCATCTTAGTCAGTGGAATGCGTATCTTTTTCTGTCAACTTCTAAACAGCCTTACTTACAAAAGAAAAAAAAATCACTGTTGAATATTTCTCACGGCCAAAATTTTTATGATGTGCACATTTACTAATATTCATCATGTAGTTGTCAAACAGCAGTGATCTTATATAGTTTACTATGATATTTCTAACCTATAAAGTTAGTTATCTGGCTTAATGATCATCATTCTTTAAAACAATTAAAAAATAGAAGTGGTTCTGCTGTGCAGACTTCAAAAGCTCAAGTTTATGTTACACATCTGTATGCGTGTTCTGTTACATTCTTTAAACTTGTTTATGGCTAGGGCTTCTCATATTCAGATGATTTGAGTACTAACATAGTTTGATTATTCACTTGTAATGATGTTTCTGAAATGTACGGCATTGAACCATTTAAGTTAGCTTTATGAATTGTCCTTGACAGGAGCTGCATTTCTTTCATGAAGTTTGCCTATGCTTTTGCCTTCAATTTTTAATTCATAGAACTTTGAAATTCTGGATATGATTGTTGTAGTTTGGTTACAATTCCTGACACTATTGTTTTAGTTGGGTTGTGCAACTGAAATTTGGATGAAGATTATATGTCTAATAAATTTGTGCTCAATTTTAGTTTTCAATTGATGGTTTTATATGAAGATTATATGTCTAATAGATTTATGTCGAATATCCGTTTATATCCGTGATCATATCCGATCCGATTCTCAAATATCCGAACCGTATCCGTTTCCGATAAATGCGGATATGGTTAAGGTTTTTTCTTACTGAGGGTGATCCGTATCCGTATCTGTATCCGTTTATAAAAAGCGGATATGGATATGGTAAACGTCATATCCGAACCGTATCCGCTCTGATAACACCCCTATCTGATACTGCAAAACAAATGTTAGCACATAATACACAACATATAATATTCGTTATCATCAAAACAAACTAATCTTGGGGTCAAGATTCCTAACAGTCTACACAAATACATCATTGGCAGAGTTACGAGACGTTTTGATGCAGACTCAGAGAGTAGTAACAAATGTCTCACAGCAATTGAGAGTACATGAGCAGATCTATTTCCACTTATGATTTGGAGTTAGCAGCAGTGGTATTTGCAATGAAGTCATGGAGACTTTACTTATATGAAGTACAATATGAATTATTCACGGACCATCAGAGTCTGAAGTATCTTTTCTCTCAGAAGGAACTCAACCAGAGACAAAGGAAGTGGATTAAGTTTACCAAGGACTACGAGTTCGCGATTCAGTATCATCCAGAAAAGGAAAATGTTGTAGCAGATGCCTTGAGTAGGAAGCGTCGACATCGGGTTTCAGCTTAGAAGTGCTCGTTGTATCGAGATATTCTCACCCTTAGTCAGTGTGATTTTAGACATGAGATTGGTGGAACCAGTGCATTATAGGGAGCTGTGTCATTGCAGCCAGCTTGGAGAGACAGAGTTGTCAGAACTCAGTTGGAAAACTATTGAATTCAAATCCAGAAGGAGGAAATTTCCAAAGCGCCTAAGACTGATTGGGCCGTTGGAGCAGATGGAAGTCTACGGATGAAGGATAGACTGGTTATGCCAACCAGTGCAGAGCTTAAGAGGGAGTTGCTAAATGAAGCACATCGTACTCAGTTCATAGTACATCCAGGGACCCCTAAGATGTACAAGGACCTAAAGAGACACCTTTGGATGGAGTGTTATGCGACGGAAGCGCTTGACAAAATTGTCGACTGACTCCCCGTCTTTTTGCCTCTCATCCAAAAGGGTTCCGATTGACACTTCGGTGTCATCATCAAAGAAATTGCTGAGGAATAAACTTTCCATGTCATCCCAGCAATTGACGCTCTCTGGCTTAAGCCGTCGGTACCAATCGAAGGCAGGTCCGCGAAGGGTGCCAACGAATGACCGGACCATTAAAGCCTCGTTTCCAGAGATCATGCCCAAATGAGACTTGAAATAAATCAAGTGCTGAATCGGCGAACTCTTCCCCTCAAACGGTGTGAAGTTAATCAGATTGAATTTGGTCGGGTATGGTATTGAATCCCATTCCCTCGGATAAGGACATGGAATACCCGTCTTCTTAACTTCTTGAGCCGTCATCAAAGCATTGATTTTGTCTTCAAGCTTTTGCATTTTCCCGTCATCGTCTTCATTTCTTTCTGAATGATGTCGAGTAAAGATAATTGGACCACCCCCAGTGAGAGGTGCTATTGAACCACCCCCAATATCGTTATTGGGAGGATCCGTTAAACCACCCCCAGCGTTATTGCCATTCTGGACTCAGCTCGCTGACTGGACTCAGGAGGTTGAGGTTGTTGAGTTAGCAATTCTCTCATTTGTTGAATAGCTAACTTCATCTCTGTCTTCACTTCAGCTCTAATTTCTTCACGTTGTTTTGCTAGAGCTTCTTGAAGTATTTGAGTGAACTGATCAGAGGTGATAGTGAGTACTTCTCTGGTTTGTCCTATGCTTGACATTGTATCATCAGAAGCAATGGCTGAACAAGTGTCCGATAATTCATCCTCTGATGACATCCTTTCATGCATTCTCTTGATAGCTCCTAGCCGGAGTCGAGATTTCCGTCGGGCAATTCTTGAATTGACTTTTCCTTCTGAGGAAAAGTCGGGTTTTGATTTACTCAAATGCCACTTAGACTTTCTTTTATCAGCCACGTTGATGGTGACTTCAGGGAATTCATCATCTTTGACAGCTGATCTTCTTTTGCGGAAATGTCTCGGCTTAGGTTTCGATAATACAGAGACTTTTCGTGGGATGACTTCTCGTTTGAAACAGTCACATTCTGATAATGCTGTTTTAACGAGTCGCGCACAGGAACAACGAGAGTTTATCTCTCGAATAACTCTCTTTTGAAAATTATTCACAACCTTAACTTGATGATACGATTCATCGGTATGATTGCCAAAAAATCGTATCGTCTGTTGGCATGATCTCCCAGGTATGACGATATCATTTGGTGAATGCGTCTTCTTCTGGGGGTATAAAACCTTGTTGGCATTCTCAGGACAATTTATTTTTGTCTTTGAGCGATCCAAGGTTATGTTGGGAGTCGCACGTCTAAAACCATCCATTTGCGGGTATGGGGTCTTAACGGGCTCCGAATGCTGATTTTGCATAAGTCCAGACTTCAGAATCCAAACTTGGCGGGGTTTTGGTGATTCTTTGGTCACCATTTCCTTCCTCCTTTCTCGTCTTTGTTGTAAGAGAGCATGGGCATGAACAGTGTTTGCACGACGTTTTTGTACACGTTCTTTGAGGGTCGAACGAGCCCTTTTGACGAGTGTCCATTCTTCCGTTGTGAATTGTGCAGAAACGTGAGTAGTTCGTCGTTGCGTTGAACAAACCACTTGTTGTTTCCTCGACTCTAAGTCCGCATAATAACGAACTCCGTCGGTTTGTTCAAATGCCTTAGCTATTTGACGAGCACGACACTGACGCTGTCTCTGACGAGCTCTTTTCGTCAATGTCGTCGGGCTTTGATTCGATGACTCTTCAATTAGATAAGAGCCATTTTGAGCAGAGGTGTTGCGAGTGAAATTCTCAGCAACAATCAAGCGAGAGTCTTCATTTTGTGCCTTCTTTGGCATGCAACTCTTCCTCAATTGTGAGATCCTCTTGTACTTGCGAGATAATGAAGATCTTGAAGAGGATGATGAGAGATATTCCTCAAACTTGGTTTGGTCGAATTCGTATTCGACCATGGATTCAACTGGAATCTTGATCGGTTGCGACACGACGGTCTCGGCACCGAGACCGTTGGCTCCCACTGTGGTCGCCAGTTTGTTTTCGCTAAAAGTCGAATTTGTTGTCGAATTCATTATATCTTCGGTCGATTACAATAAATTCAAAGAAAACAGCCTTTTTATAAGACTCTTTTACACAACAAAAAGAAAATTACAACTCTTGAGAAAATAAACGCAGGATCGTTGTTTGGATCACTGCTTTCGTGGGATCTTTGCCTGTGCCGGGAGCGCTTTGACTCGTGGACCACCAAATCACAGATTCTGATTGAACCGTGAGGGGTTTATGATTCTGACTTCGTTTATCGAAGTGAGAAATTGAAACGATATCTTATCGATGTAAGATAGTCGTTCTTCTTGAAATCAAGTCAAAGCCTGATTATCAAGGATTGGCCGTAAGATCAGCACCTCTGCTCTCTCTCTGCTCTGGATTGCTCTGGATTGCTCTGAAGTACTCACAATGATCAGCCCCCTGGAAAAATGGCCTTAGGAGGGTATTTATAACCTCCAAGAACAGTTGGCAAAAAACAGGTTCGCGAGACAGCTTTTGCTGTCTCGACGGGCGAGACAGTGTTTGCTGTCTCGGCCCGCGAGATAGTAAACGCTATCTCGGAAACGCGAGACAGTAAAGACTGTCTCGCACGGCGAGACAGTCAAGTCTGTCTCGCGTGCGAGACAGTAAAGACTTGTGTTCTTTTGCCTTTTTGGATGATTTCCTCTTGAGCTGTATTTGGATATCTTTCAGCATTTTTTGACGCCTACAGTGGCGACACCGACCACTTGTGCGAGTCTGGAAGATACATCAACAACCTTATCTGATCACATGAACATTGACTTTCTCATCCCAACTGTCTTGTATTTTCTAAGTCAACAACACACAAGTCTCTAGGTCTTATTCATATCACACTGGTCACTATAGTCATAAACTCCTAACGATTCTCAATCACAATAAGGAACAATCAATGCAACTAATCATGTACAATAATATCATAGCATATCAGCTAATCAAGTCTAAGAATTTGAATCATAAAATTGTTCGAAAATAATCTTCTAAAATAATAAATTTATTTACTTCAAAATAATTCCTTTTACAATTTAAATTCTTTTAATTTAATTTCAAAATAATCCTTTTTTCTAAAATAAGTTATTTTCTTATTATAATAATTCTAAAAATAATCTTTTGAAAGAATAAATTCAAAAATTCAAAAATAATCTTTTTATAAGATAAATTCTAATAGTCTATTTTCCCAAATAATTTCTTTTTTAAAATATTTATCATTCTAAAATGATTTCTTCCACAAGATAATTTCAAAAAAATTATTATAATTATTCTAAAATGATTTTTTTTCCAAGATAATTCCTTTTAAGTTATTATAATTTTCCTAAAATGATTTGTTCTCAAATAAATTCTTTTTAATTAATATAATTATCCAAAAATAATTCTGCTGCCGAGATAAATTCTTTTTAATTAATATAATTATCCAAAAATAATTCTGCTATAGAGAGAGAGAGAGAGAGAGACACGTGTGAGTGAGTGAATGACGTGGGGGGGGGGGGAGGAGGAGTTGTGAGATCATTCTTCTGCACGTTAGAGCAACTCCAATGGGGCTGCAAAACTCCATTTTGCAGCCCCATGGAGCTCCAACCGGACTCCAATTTTTGGAGTCCGGCTGCAAAAAAATTTCTTCGGCTGCATATTTGGAGTTTTTGCTCCAAATATGCAGCCCCCCTCCAAACAACTATTCCTCCTAAAAATTTACAATAATACCCTTCTAACTAACTAATTATTTTTAAATATTCAACTTAAAATCAACATAAGTTTATTTCTACTAATTATTTTTAAATAAAAATTTTACAGTTGGAAATTTTTTGTCGATACCTTCAAAATGAGACTAATATTGAATAATATTAATTGAAATATAAAATTTCAAGAACCAAGTAATTAAAAATGAAAAAGTTATTATTTCATTAGTAAAAAAAGTTACATAGCTTCATTTCCATGTCTTTCCCACAAATGTTCAATCAATGCATTTCGAAGTGCAAAATGAGCTTCTTTGTTTTTCAACCTCTTATGTCGAGCAAGAAGCCGTTGGAATCATTCAGTTTCCGTTATCTCCATATTTTCAGCATTCGGAATTGATTGTGGAGTTGAAATGACAACATCTTCTTGCTCGTCGCGTTCATCTTCGACAATCATATTGTGCATTATAATACAAGCAGTCATGATATCATGCAGAGTTCGTTTATCCCAAAAACGGGCTGGCCCCTTGATGATAGCAAATCGTGATTGGAGAACATCGAATGCCCGCTCAACATCTTTTCGACATGCTTCTTGCATCATTGCAAAATATTATTTTTTTTATCATCGGAATTAGAAATGGTTTGAACAAGTGTTGGCCATTTCGGATATATGCCATCGGCCAAATAATAACCGACATCATAATTTTTTCCTTGAATTGTGTAATGAGCAGGAGGAGCAATACCTTGTGATAGATTGTCGAACAAATTAGACGACTGCAATACATTAATATCGTTATTGGATCCTGGTAAGCCAAAGTATGCATGCCATATCCATAGATCATATGATGCTACTGCCTCAAAAATAATGGTTGGACCTCCATGACGACCTGAGTATTGTCCTGCCCATGCTGTTGGACAATTTTTTCATTGCCAATGCATACAGTCTAGACTTCCTAACATTCCTGGAAAACCTCTTTCTTCGCCCTTTTGCAATAACCTTGCAACATCGTCGACATTGGGAGTCCTCAGATATTCATCTCCATATACTTCTACAATTGCTCTGCAAAATCTCTTTAAACACACAATTGCAGTTGACTCACCGATCCTAACATATTCGTCAGTACTATCTGCTGATGTTCCATACGCCAACATGCGAAATGCCGATGTAACTTTTTGTAAAGTTGATAGCCCAAGTTTGCCGACACCATCCATCTTCTGTACGAAGAAGTTGTCATGATCACGTACCGCCTCAACTATACGAAGGAATAAACTCATGTGCATCCGGAACCTTCTACGGAATAGGTTTGCACCATATGTAGGGTTATCAGAAAAATAGTCATGGTAAAGTCGAGAATTACCTTCTTCCCTCCCGCGATTGATCACCAAATGACCAGGAACTGAGCCAATACGCTTTGGCCGCTCTGCCTCTTGAGAGAGATAAGTCATTATTTTACTATTAGAGGCATGTACGCGAGCTAAGAGTTCATCTTCCTTCTCCCATTGTGTCATATCTTCCTCCCAATCTTTAATGTACTGAGACCATATTTCGTCGTCAGAAGAAGAAGAAGAAGAAGAAGAAGATGGTAGTTGTGACGGTCCGGCTCCATAGTTCATTGATGAAGAAGTTATTTACCCAAACTGGCGGGCGAACCTGCAGGGGATGTATGGCTCGAGATAGCATGTAGGGCCCGTTCTCAGAATGTGATACCCCGGTCGGATATTCACCAACCAGCGAAAGGCACCACGGGTAAGGACCGTGTAGTGATCCGCCGTCGGCGCATCCCTGAGATATTCTCCATATCCGCCCCCGCTGAAATAAGGAAAAAAGCGGCGAAAATTATAATGCCCGAAGTGGGAGAGCGTCTTCCTTGCATCAGGGATGTCCTTGCATTTCCAGGAGCACCGCTCCAAGCGCTGGACGAAGGGGACGAACCTATCGCCCTGAGGCATCGCCGGGGCGCTCATCAAACATTCGCAGTGGTATACGAACCACGCCATCAAGTAGGTGTACGGTAGCCCCACCCTAGGATTGGGAGTTTTGATAACTACTCCTTCCCCCTCATCGAGGACCGACACGCGGCAGAATTGGGCCGCCAGAGTACGGAGCCCTCGATGAATGCACGCTATCGTCGCCGATACCAAGGAATAAGACTTCCCGTGAGCTAAGCAAACCGCCGGATACACGACCTCCACAGGAAGAGCCTCAAAGGAGTGAGTGGGGATTACGCACCTCTTCAACCATAACATGAGGTACCCCGCGAGCAACGCCTTCCCCGAGATGAGAAACCTCGCCTGATGATGGAATGAGTGGAGGACCGTACCAGGCTTAAATCCGCCCTCGTCGCGGTCAAGAGTCATGGTGCTTCCTTCTTTAGCTGTCCTCGCCTCCACTTCGGGCTGGTCGCACGCGCCTAACGGGAGAGCGGGCTTCCCCTTGACATCGTTCCCTGGGAACAGATAATCAGCCCAATTCTTGTGGCTGATCCCCGGGGTCTTCTTCTTCTTCCCTTTGTGATCCGATGCCCCTAAGGTACTCAGGCATATGTGGTAGTGGCAGAGTAACTCCCATAGAGTTTCAACCGCCAAAGGGGAATGGTTCGACAGCTGATCGATCTCATCTTGATCGGGGACATACTCCTCGTAAGGAAAGTCTCCCAGAGGCAGCCCCGACACGTCGTACATCTCGTGAGGGGTGATAATCAATCGAAACAAAATCCGCTGTAGGAGCAAAATCGCCCATCAAACAGAGGCGGGCGAAATCGCCTGTCGAAAGGGGGAACCCACTTCGAACGAGGTCTATCCGTACAGAGGACCCCCCCCCTCTAACAAGAAAGGGCCGAACTCGCCTATCGGAAAGGGAGTTCGCCTCCTTCCCGCTGAGGGATTCGCCCGCGGAGACAGTAATCATCCCCTAAGGGCAAATAGAGCAAACCTTGCCCCAAATCGGGGAAGCTACCAAGCATAGTGAACAACACTCATCTCCCTAAATCCGACACTTAAGAACCACAAGAGGTCGTCCAGCGAACCCATCGACGTACCTGGGTGCGACTCCAGAGCACTGTCAGGCATGCCGGCGGAGAGATGGTCGGAGTAACGTCCGGGGCCTGCACCCCTCACTTTGCACCTCTTAGATTTCGGAGCAATTGTAGGAGGAAGCGGGAATTCTTTCCGTGGAAGTTCCTTTCGAGATTTGAGAGCACGGTAACTCCCAAAAGAGGAAAATGACTGGTTTAGAAGGGCGGAGTTGCCCACGTGGCCACGACTGCCCTCGAAAGGCGAAAACCCTAACGGACAGAAGTCGTGGCCACGATCAAATTCGACGGCCTAGATCACCCTCGGTATATCGAAGGAACCGAGATTGGGGGTTGCATCCGACGGTTGAGTTCGAAAACCACGGCCACGATGCGTCGTGGGGCGAAACACACGAAAATCGTATTGTCAGGTCACGATCGCCACGACCCGACGAGACCGCGCCACCTTAGCTGGGAAGCACGAAGCTCTATCGGCAGACACGTGGCTCATCTCCCGTCAGAATCGGTTCCGCCTTAAAAGGGAGGGATTCCGCCTACAAATACTTGGCCTGACCCCACGAGTCGCGCGAAATTTGGCGCCCAAAGACTAATTTCGCCTTGGCGATTCATTCGCCCTCAAAGGTAAAATTACGAATGAAGCCCATAGATTGACCTCGCTTAAACGGTTAAACCCACGCCTCAGACGGCTAAGGGTTAGAGCAGAAATCTTAGCATTAAGCCTAAGAGAAACTGTTCAGCAACTCATCATACTGAGGAGAATAGTATGGCTAGCACTATTCAAACGGTAATCGGTAAAGGCACATCAAACCCGTTGATAGCTGAGGGTTTGCTAAAAATCCTAAAAGAAATCAAATGCGCTTGCTTCGCCAAGAATTTCTTTATTCAAAGTATCCCAGACCACACGCAAGCCAGTTTAGGTCTGAAAACTTTGAAGGGGGTCTTGTAGACGGTAAAAAAATACCTCTGATGAGCCTACAGCTAAAAGAAATCAAATGCGCTTGCTTCGCCAAGAATTTCTTTATTCAAAGTATTCCAGACCACACGCAAGCCAGTTTAGGTCTGAAAACTTTGAAGGGGGTCTTGTAGACGGTAAAAAAATACCTCTGATGAGCCTACAGGAAATTCGCCCACAAGAAGTCGCCTGCCTAAACCGCATGACCGTCAAATGTGCTCGGTTCCAGATTCGCTTGAATAATCGACTCGCTCGCACGAGTTGAGATTAGTTGGAATAGCGGAAGTTCGCCTTTCACGCAACTCGCCCGCCCGAGTCCAAAGACGAATCCGCCTGCAAACCTCAAGGCCACTAGCACAGCTGAGTATCCGCTACCCCACGTGCTGGGCCGGGCCATCCCATCTCTCTCGACCCGAAGGGAGAGAACACGATACCCCCAGACCGTCAAACGGTCGCTCACAGTACGAAGGCCTAGACAGGTGTCGAGTCAACCTGAGCATTCATAAATGCGACTCACCTCAGCTGTCTGGGTCAAGAGCTGGATCCGCCGGCACTCGGTAGGTTGGCTAGACCCACTCGAGTACTGTGCACCTACTTCGTCGCCTCTCCTGACCGGAAAGGAGAAAGCACCGTGCTCAAAGCACGCCGGGCGGTCACGCACAGTACGAGTGATCGGACAGACACCTCATCGATCTGCGAACTCATAAATGCGGTTCATTAATGATGGTCAAGTCCACTCGGATAGAAGACGGCCGTTGCCTCATATACAAGGATGGGCCTTCCCATTTTAGGTGACAGACATAAAGCACAATCCCTCGAATGATCATTCATGGTATCGAGGAACAGCTAGACGTCTCTGAAGGAGATATGGTCACATCCCATAATTCAAGGATGAGTCAAGCTGTCCCTCTTCCATTTAAAAGCCCCTTTCCAGCGCACTGGAGGAGAGGTCACAAACTTAGAGAAAAGAGTTGAGACCAAGCTCTCTGCATAATCTTTGCATTGCAGCATCACGGTTTAGTTCTGAGCTCCGACCACCGACGAACTAAGCAGACCCAAACTCTCTCGAGTTGAGCTTCTACTGCGAACTGAAGCTCTCCAGCAACTTCGATCGAACGGTCCAAGGGAAGCAGACTCGACACGAGCATCGAGCGAAGCGTCCTATAGCCACCTAAAGTCCCCACACAAAACAAAGAGGGCATTCCCTCTGCTTCTGTTGTAACCATTTGATTATTAGTTTGTAATAAGCTTTCTTATTAATACAAACGAGCACTCCCTGTTTTCGGGAAATCAAATTTACACCATACAGAAGATGGCGACCACAGTGGGAGTAGCTGTTTCATCGAGTGAAATGGTGGTGGCTCAGTTCGATGAGGTTGCTGTTAGGACAACCGTGGAGTCCCTAGAAATCGAGTTCGACCAAGCCAAGTACGAAGAGTACTTGTCTTCCTCCTCCTCTGGTGGCGATGCGTCCCGCAAGCGCCACAGAGTCGTGCGCCGAGGCCGACCTCAAACGGTCAAAGCCTCTACGCCTGAGGGTTCCACCCGAGTCTCATCGGGGGAACCCACATCCTCGCAATCGATCAAGGCCAACCCAGAGATCGAACGCAAGGGACAAGGGTCTGCCAAATGGGTCGCCAAGCGATCCCCGCAGACACTTACCCCGAAGGGAACGCCGGTTCACTCCGGCACAAACAACACTGCCTTCTCAGGTCATATCCCTGATGCGAATAAACCCAAGTAGGCGAATCCTCGAAGGCTGGCGAGCCTCGCCATAATCATTTGGCGGATAAACGTAAAGGAAAGGAAATAGGCGGTTCCTCCCGAACCCGCTCTTCTAAACATAGGGTTGAAACCCGCCCACGTACTGGAGTTCGCTCAAACGCGAAGACTCGCCAGTCAAGGCGAGATCGCCCGACTCCAGCACCAAAGCATTCCACCCAACGCGCACCAGAGAGAGCGCCCAAAAATCTCTCGTCGGCTCACCAGAGCGACTCTTCTGAGGCCGGGGGTTGTCACCAACCACCCGTAGAAGACCTCAGAGAATTCTTGACTCGCAAACGTACTATCCATGAGTTGAGTCCTCAGTGCCACTGTGAGAGACTCATCCACACGGTCCTCGCCGACTGCCAATGCGTCTGAACGGCGAAACCTTCGGTGTTCGAGAGACTTTCTCAACAGTCCTCTCGACCAAGGCCCTCCCGTCAAAGACGCCGTCACCAGAAAAGACGCGCTGCTGACGACCTGGAGCTCTCATCCGCCACAGTTAACATGACGGACAAGGGGAAGGTGGTACTCTCTGACTCGCCAGACTCGGACTCCGTCCTGAGACCTAACACTCGGTTCGCTCGACGCCGGCAGGAAGGCATATTCCAGCGAACCCGTAGTCGCAGGGGGGCAAGTATTGGGTTTGACTATTCCACCTTAGTACCTCCCTCCTGCGGCGCAGACGAGGTTCATTCGGCGGCGGCCACATCCCAGACCTCGCGCTCAAGTCAAGACGCGCAGGCGAGAGTGCACATGACCGGACTCGATACCGAGCAAACAATGGCCCAAAAGCTGGAGGAACAGCAGGCGACCATCGACTCTCTGAGAGAGATGATGGAGCAACTGCTGAACAAGAAGAAGAA